GAGTTTCTCTGACACCGCGTGTTTTGGATCTCAGCCTTGAGGTGTGTTAAATTGGGCTTCTAGTGGGACGGTTTGAAATTGCGTCTCAGCTTGTGCTGTTCTGGTCAATGGTAATTTGAAAATTTGTAAATCTTCGGATATTAGAGTCAATTGATTTCCTTTACACGGTCATTGTTATTGGTAGATTGTACATTAAATTCAGGTTTCTGACAACGGGACACTACCACTAACACCGCCGTACCTAGGGGGACGGTGTCAGGTCGTCTCCTCCGCATACGTGAGTTTCCTTGAGTTTTGGGCATCTCTGGATTTCAGTTGATGCATCCTTGCTGGTAGTAGGAGACCTTGTATCTTGTTGTAGGTCTTTAATACTCGTATGAATTGTATTTTAAATTATTTTGAAACTACGATTAAATTTGTTTTAATTGGAACTCCTTTTTCAGGATTTTGGACAGTCTGTCGACCACCGTCGGTTTAATTTTTCTTTAAACGGTGAGTTGTCTTTGTTTTGGGGCATCTACTCTTGCTTGTCGAACGACAAAGCCCTCTTGTTGTGCAGGTGGTAGCAATACTTAACTCTATAACTTTGCTTTAGTCTTTCCTTATTTGGCAGATTGTACTTCAAATTATTATTAAAGCTACAGTGATGTTGACTGGAACACGTTATTGTTTGTTGGTTTGTGTTTCAGGATTTCCAACCCCGCCGAAAGTTGCGGTCGCAGATACGTCATCTTATCTTAATAGGTGAGATCTTACTTCAAATGATTATTATGAAAACTGCAATTAAGTTGTTGTTGATTGGACCTCGTTTATTTGTTTCAAGTATTTTGAGCAACCTGAATACCACCATTGCCATCGCCATGCCTAGGGGGCAGAGTTAATTCATGTGATTCAAATTGGTGAGTTTTCTTGATTCCTGTTCAACTTTTCTCTTTTCGTGCGTCTAAGTCCTTTGATGCTTTCGTGCTAGCAGCACGTAAGGTTATAGCCTCCTTCAGTTTTTTCATGTTTGTCAGGTAGTATGTTAAATTTTTATCAAGATTTGAATGCTATTACGTGTAGCCCTCGATTTTCGCTTGGACGTGTTGCTGGTCGAAATCTCGTAATCGGAGTCTGCGTAAATTGAAACTGTTTTATAATGTAAATGAATGGGAAGTCAATGACGTGCGTTCCCAGCACCAAAACTTTGATGAGTAATATAATGGCATT